GATGTCGCATGTCGGTGTCGCGGCGAAAAGGCGGTGAGGGTATTGTGGGAGTGCTCACGAATTCCCTTGAATTTTTTCTTAGTATATAATTAAAACCCTGAGCCCATGCAAACTGCAATCCCACTCTCAGATCTATTTAACTTATCATCGTTACTTACCACTAACTACTAGTATCTTATTATTTCACCAAAAGATAAAGTTTTTCATCGAGATGCACGTAGATTTTGATCTGCATGCAGGTGCATGGCCTCTATCTTTTGTTGTCGACCACAAGTTTTTGTCTGTTCACAACATAATATTTCACTTGTTATTCTTCTTTACTTCACTGCTATCCGTTTATTCTGATTTTGATGATTCAATAGTTACTGCTATATGTAGTCTAGGAACGGTCTTAATTTTTGGTTTTTAGTTAATTATGTAGAAAAATAAACGAATAACAAGAGTCTGAAAATGGAGTTTGATCACAAAATGCCGAACACCACCTGCCAAAGTAGCTATCATTCCAAGCCTCATTCTTCCGAATGCTTTCTGTCATATACATGTATTGTTCAATTATTGTATATGTATTGTTCAGTTAATGTATATTAGCATTAATAAATCTTGGTTTACTAAATAACAAAACTGAATATTCACTTATTTGTCGAGTAGATACATCTTGAAGTCTGTCTTGGTTGAACTAATCAAATTTTCGTATATAAATGGGATAGATATTCAAATTAAAAGACCTAGATTAATGATATAATAGTACACATAAATGAATCATATATAGGATTTTTTTCCTATAAAACAAACCATTTAAAAAACGAAAACAAAAAAAGTAAGGGAGAGAGAGCGAGAGAGGGTAAAGGGAATTGACCATTGGGAGGAAGAGAGTGGTAATGGCAAAAAGTGGTAAAAAAAGAGAAGAGAGGAAACAGAGTTTTGTGCCCCACGCGAGCCGCCTCCCCTTTTTTAAAAAAAATGTTTTCCTTTTTCTTTAAACAGAGTTTTAATTACACATACACCAAACCATGGTGCCAACAAAATCTATATACCAAACCCATAATAAATCTGCAGTGGCTAATAAATACAAGACTTGTTTAAGTAGAAGTGCATCTGTAGTTTGTACATGATTATTTGAGTTGTATTATCCGTTCAATAGATTGGGATTTAGAAGGTTTGTGCATTTTAACTTTTTTACCGAGGTGGTGATATATACACTTACGAGAGAGATAGAGAGAGGGGGCAAAATGGTAAATTTGATAAGTGTAGCTTTAATAAAAGAAGAGATGCAATTAAATTAAATTTAACATAACTAAGCCTAATGTTGTTTATTGCCATAAAAGAAGAAAAAGAAAGAATTATAGGAGAATTAGGAGTGTAACCGACAAGACGGCTTTATTTTCGCAGCCTTTGCTCCTTTGATTGCCTCATCTCCTTGCTGACGTTATCCTAACGTTGACCGTCTTACGCCACATCACCTCTCTCTCTCCTTTTCTTTCTTTATTAATGAATAATAACAAATTAATGACCCTTTTTCTAGTGGTTAATCACAATATCTCTTACTATGAAATTTTTAAGAAATGTCATTTTTAAATTTCTATTATTTTTAAATATTATCTTTTCAAAATCTTTGTAAAAATATCATATTTTAAAAATTATTTACTTAATATATTATTTATATTTGGGTTAACTATGTTGTATTAAAAATGTTGTATTAGAGTTTAGTTTTGATAGTTAAAAATTTTTTTAAGGCCAAAATATTTTTTAGAATTTAAAATTTAAAATTTTTTAATTAGTGACATTTTTGCAAATGAAAAACTAATAATGACATTTAAAAAAAATGGCATTTCAAAAATGCCATTTTTGCAATTATCCCATCCTCCATATATCAATCGAGGAGACATTAAGTAAAAATTATATGTGTCATCATAAGAGGGTTTTAAGGAATTCATTTCCTAATAAAAATTATTAAAAAATTTTAATAGCAAATATATGAAAATAACGAATATATGGTCATTAATATAGAGAATTTTATTTAAGGAATATAGAAAATATATTTTTTCTTTTCAATAATATTAGATTTTTTTATCCGAGTCAAAAGTGATATTAAAATATTCAAAAAAAATTCATGATTATTTTAATAGATAGGAGAAATGAAAAATAACAAAGATAAAATATATTTATGTTTGATCAAAATTTAGTTTTATTATATGTATGCACAATACATATCATTTTTGTGTGTTTTTATTAATGTTAGAATACACGTCTAAATATTAAATCCGATTAAAAACAAAGTTAATTATTTAATCCCACGTTTGGCGTGGGACAAAATCTAGTATATCATTATTTTTTCTTTTTTTTTGTTGAAATTATCCAGTATATTATATTTACGAAGTATTTAGCAAAAAAAAATTATATAATATTTTAAGATTTCAACAAAGTAAAGTTTTGAGGAGCTACCACGTGTCTCTCACCATTTTGACATTTATCTTTTTTTAATTAATTATGACCATTAATTCTAATGTTACA